TCCTCGCCTCACGATCCAGTGACACTTTGCCCAGCCACCATGGACGCGCAGTGGCAGCAATACTACTGGAATCAGGTTTTGATGCAGCAACACCATCAGCAGCTTACCAACCCTGACACCACAACCTCACCTCCCACCACCACTCACCACACCTACAGCCCCACTGGCACCTATGGCCCACTCACCCACGCACTCCGTACACACCACGTCCACCACTCCAATCCGTACGTGACTCCACCATACACACCGCCAGCGCACCATACACCGCCACCACAAGCACCAACCTCTCAGCCGGAGTTCCCACCTCCACCCCCGCCACCCCTCCCTACGGCCGAACCTGTTACTCCACCACCATCGACCTTCCAACACAGCCCACCGCCACCACCAACCGCCCGTGCCGGCACAGCACCTGCCCCACCACCACCACACATCCCATCCCCCACTCCACCAGTTCCAGACTCTTGGAACCCAACCGACCACCATTGGGACTCCAACACCCTGCACGGCCACCAACTACATCGTACAATCCAACCCACCCAGTGGTCTCGAAAAGCAGGAGTGGCAGGACTCCCAACCTTTGAAGTCTTCCCGTGGCAATTGGCTTACCACGGCACCTCCGAATTTACTGCCCGCACACTTAGCAACGGCAAATACACCGGATTTATTGCCACCAGAAGCATTGCGGAGTCGGTTTTCGTGACCCACCTTCTCCAACAGCTCCGTGAGAAACGCCTTGACCTTGACGGCATAGCGGAGACCCTCCACACCCAACAAGGCACGGACATCCCCAGCAAAACCACCCACGCCCGAGCGTTCCACGCTCCCCTCATCAAACTACTTATCGACCAACTACAAACTCATTCTCCGGCACCTGCGGAAGGCACCGCTCTGCGCGCCCTCAAGAACACCAACGACGAACTGGCCCGCGCACGCCAAAAGCTCCATGACCTGGGCAACCCACTCACCCCAGTCAAGAGCACCAGCCGATCTTCCGCACCGGGCGCCCCATCCCATGCACCTACTCCACCACCACCAAAACCGCCATCCCTCACCGACGTCTTGCAACCCCCACACCCAACACTGCAAGATGATATCCCCGAGGGCTGGAACCACCCAGAGATCCAACAATGGGTCACCACCTTCGACCCCACCATCCAAGAAGCCGCCAAGGATGTCGTTCGTTCGCTGCAAACGAGCAAAGTCACCACGCAGCAGCTCAAAGAAGCAGCCACAAGGTATGGCCTACCCCTCAACCGGGTCAACCGGCTCCCCATTCGTAGCTTACAACAGCTCGTGGGTGTTGGGGCAGCCATCGGCTGCTGACTCGCCATCCTTGCCCAGCAGCAACCCAGCCACACCAACCTCACCCAACTTTTCCACTTGCACCGAGCACTCTCCGTGCTCATTCACCACACCCAATACATCGACCGTGCCGAGGCCATCTTTGCCACTGGCCTTATCCACATCACACTCCTTTTCGCATATCCTTCCAACACCCGTCGCTCACAACAATGGCGCAACCGTCTCCGCCAGCTCCACATCTTGCCCCACACATACCACTACCACAACTTCCTCTCCTCAAATTCCGTTTACATCAAGCTCCACTTCAATCCTGACCAGCCCCAACGCTGCTACCATCAACATGGCCACTTCTATGTTGGCTCCACAGCCATTGGCATTCCCCACCGCGAACACAATCGCCGTGCCAAACTCAAGCAACTCCAGAACAACATCCCCATCTCTGCAGAACTCTCCTTACGTTATTGGCACTCACACAACAACATCCACCACTACACTACCATTCAACTTACCTCCCATGACACATACGACCAAGCCTGGATCCAAGAGCACCACTACATCGCAAACTGGATGCCTACGCTCAACTGGCCTTTTATTTCCCACCACCTCAAGCTCAAAGCTCAAGGCTGGCAGTTCACCAAACACAGAGCCCATTTCTACTCCAGATTAGCAACCCACAAACGACTCTTTCGACGCCTTAGGCAACGCCAGTACACACTCAGAGAACCACACCTTCACACCTCCACCAAGCATCACGCCCTCCAACTTCTCCGCAACCTTACCAAACACACAGCAGCCTCCTTTGAAGCAGCCAAAGAGCTACGAAGCGGCCGCCACACGGACCTTGAAGTCTATGCAATCCGGCGCATGGCCGCAAACCTTGAAGAACCCGGCCGCAGCAGAGCTCTCCACATCCTCAACAAAGCCCTTCTCTACCGCAACCTCACACCGCCCAAACCAAATATTCCATTGACAGTGCCATTCCTGGCCCACGACGATTTCACCAAGCACTGCCAGCAGTGGCTTCGTACTACCATTCAGCAACACAAGCACTTCACCATCCCCCTCCACCTCCCCTCCCACAGACTGCGAGAAGCCGCACACAAAACCCTACGTTCCCACCTGCATAACCACCGCACATGGGAGGACACCCTCCACTCTCCGCCAGATCCAGCAGACCTCCCCTGCGCATGCGATCATCTTCGCACCCTCCTGCAAGATCCCGATACCCCCACCATCAATGGCCACTACATTCTTACACTTGACCAACTCCAACTCCCTACACATCTCGGCATTTTTCTCAACGCCAATATGAACAGCGCCTACTACCCAAGCAAGGCCCGATACTTCCTCATGTTCCAGACGGCCTACACGAAATGGCTCAAACTACAAGGGCTTCCGCCATCCCTCGTTCAACATTTGCAACCATTCCTTGAGCACCAATGGCGCCTCCACAACATACACCTCAAGCAGCAACCCCGTTTTACGGCTCGCCTGCTTCGCCAACTCCAAGAACACCTCGGCCAACACACATTACTTCACCATGCCGACCATGAACTACAACAACTTCGGCTGTTCTGCCCTCGCCAATATTTCACTGGCGCCTTGAATACATGGCAATCCCCCGAACTTTTCGAACCACTTCCCTTCATCACTGCCACCAATATCCACGCTCACCTGGCAGCCACTGTTCCTCCCATTCTGCGCACTCGCTACAAGTGGGGCTTCCGCAAAGACTTCAACATTCCTTACGGCGTTGTCCACCTCAAGGAGAAGAAGCACTGGCAAAAAGGCCGTACAATCATCTCATACTTCCAATCACTCAGTGGCAACCTACTTCGCATTACCAGCCGTGCCCTTGACATCATCCTCCAACACCTTTACCCTCAGCATCCCGGCCAAATGTCCATTCCCCAGCTTTGGCACCATTTTCACAGCTACCTCACCCAAACCCCACCAGACATCTCACTACACGCCACCAACGATGACCTGGTCGGTTTCTTCAACTCAGTTCCACAGCACAGACTTATCGATGCGGTTCACTCCCTCGTCCACCACTGGCAACAACAGCAATCCACACACACCCTGACGGTGGATGTCCAGGCCACCGGCAACCCTTTCCACCACTCACACATTGGCAGACACCATCGAAAACACCCTACCCAACGCACCATCCAGACTTCAGACATCACCACCATCGTGGCTTTTGCCCTCAACACATGCATTTTCCGGGCGTGCAACAATACTTACAAACAAATCCGAGGGGCCGGGATTGGATCCCAGCTCTCTCCAGCCCTATGCAATGTTGCCATCACCCTCATTGAGCATTCCTGGCACCAGATCCACAACAACCTACTTCAACACACAGACCTCCACTTCACTTACTATCGATATGTCGACAACCGCTTCATTGTCCACAACGAACATTTCCTCCAACACCCAGCCATTCAAACCCTCATCCACCACAACCTTTTTGGAGACCCAGTGGAACTCGAACCAGTGGAGGATTTTCATCTCCTCGGTTTCAACATCGACCTCCCACAACGCACCATCACCTACATGCAACCTTCCCAACCCTGGAAAATCAGGGATTCCACAACCGCCGGGAGCCAGCGCTTGGCTCTATCAGGCCTCCAATCACGACTCCACACCATTCGCAAATACACATTTCCACCCTCCAGCGCTGAAGCTGCTGCGGCTGAGCTCGTGAGGCTCTATGTCCAAAAAGGACACAACCACCACGCTTGCCACCGGTTTTTGAAAAAAGCGCCGGATGCGGCGACCTGTGTGTGTCCACCCCTGGACAAAGGGTTTTCCACCACCACTCCTTACAGGCAGGGGCGTGTGGCACTCTCGCCCTACCACACGCAACGAAGCTATGGGCGAGAGTGGGAAGCAGGGCCTGATCAGCCCTGCGTACCTGCCGTTCTATCAAGCTGTGACTCCACTCTCCACGTTTTTGATTCATGGTTCTTCACGTTTCCACCCCCAAACCTTTTCCTGCCGCAGACGTGCAGCCGCGTTTGATCGTTTTGCAGCCGCATTTGAACGTGTGAGTGCACTTGTGAACAATGTTGAACAATACTTTTCAGCGGACTTTGCTACCTTGCCGTTCCCTCGCCTTCCTTCCCATCGGAGTAATTGAGTTAACTGAAAACCAGTGTCAGAGTGTAAGAACATCAGTGGTTGCGGGCTTTCCTCTCACCATGGCTAAGTCTCAGGAGTCTGGCAAAAATATTAAAAAATGCCATGTCAAGTGTGCGAAATTGGATCTCATCAGAATGCATCATAATCACGCGTGTACGTGTCGTGTGTGTGTGTGTGTGCGCGTGCGTGTCTTTGTTTGATGGTGTCGGTGCGGAAAATCATGACAGCTTTGATGGCTATCATGATGGCTCCGCTCTCGCTCTCATGCCTTGGCCGGACGTTCTTGGCTCGAAAACGGCTCAAACGAGCATGCAACACATGGTCGCCAGGCCCGGTGGGTCTCCCCTGTCGGTCCTAAGGACCGCCAGGATTCCGCCAGGACCGAGAAAACATGAACACCTGCTTTTGCTTGCGATCGTTGGTTTCCCCCATTTTCTCTATGGGTCAATACATATCAATACATATCAATACCCCTCTTAGAGGAAGCGTTTCATAGCGCCTAGGTTCCTATGTTTTCCCCGGTTCCTGCGCTGCATCCAACGAAAATGTCCAGGATGTCCAAAGTCAGTGGCACGAACCGTATGACGGTGACCGGGCGCAACACTATTGTGACGGACTCCACTGCGATGCCAGGCATCGCTGTGGTCAGACGCGGTGGTCGGTGGGGGGTTATATAAGACCTCCCCGGTTTTGGGAGGTATAGGTGCACCAAGCAAGTGGGTCGAGACAGCTGGTTGGCTTATGTAAGTCTTGAAACGCAGTGTTTTCACCTATTAAAACACGAGTGGCGGCAATTGCATGTGGTTCATGAAGACATCCTCCCTCCTCAGGCAGTTTGATGAGTATCGAGATCCGCTTGGACCAGTTGTCGAAGAAGATGGATGCATGCTTGGAGGAAGTTAGGCACGTGACGCGCGAGAAGCGGCCATCCTCCAGGACATCCCCGAAGCCGACCTTGCCCACATCACGTTTGCTACAAGAGACTCGGCGGTTGTCAGACTCGACCGACTCATTGGTTTTGTGCAGCATGCAGAAGTCGTGAAGTCCAAGAATTGCAGCAGTCTACATCAATACTGAAACATATACACACACATATTCACATATACAATATAAACAGTCGTATCCTGGATTGCTTTGGTTTAGGGAGAATCTTAAGAGGCCTATATATATATATATATGTGTGTCCTTTTGTCAGGGTCAACTGGCCTTGGTCCATGTCAGACTCTGATGCGAGGATCGACAGGATCGAGAAGAGTCGGGTCCGCGGATCAGCCTGGCCAGCGCCATCTCAGAACAGCCGGGCTACATGAGCAGCCATGTCAATGTGCGAAACTTGGACATGCAACATGCTTTTAAGAGCTACGCCAAGGACATCTCAAAGGATTTGGCCGAGCTGGACAATCGAAAATCACTTTATCAATTAAGTGAGGAGGATGAGAAGTTCAAGACCATCTTGAGGCCTTTTCGACGCACCCGGCTGGACCTGATCTGGGAAACCTTGGATGATCACAACAGCTCCAAATCAGCATGGTGGATTTCACAACTACAGAGCTTGCTGGTGATTGCCACAGTGGTCTTCGGCACTTTAGAGGTCACCGAAGACCAAGTGCCTCAGTCGAAACTGTGTTTCAGTCTCAGTTCAATGTTGACCTTCCAAGTGGTTCTTTGAAGATCCAGTTGTTTCATGTTGTTCCTGGAGATGAAAACGCATCCACAAAAGTTGAGCTTTGATGCCTCTTGAGTGGTGCGATTTGCCGATAGATCACGAGTCTTGGGATGGTCCAAAGGATTGCCAATGAGTTTTTAACTTAAAGACATATATGTGTTAACATGCATTAACATATTCTCTCTTGAGAAATTGGATGAACCAACATACACCGGTGAGCCCACCCAAAAAAATCGCTCTCCAACCCCCAAAAAGGTAACGTTTTGACCAGTCTCTTAGAAAAATCACCCAGTTGCTGGACCCTGTGACCGTGGCGATTGTGGAGACCATCTTTGACTCGATCTTCTGCTTGGAGTTCCTCTTTCGCATCATCTCCGCACCCTCCAGGCGTGATGCAGCGGGAAAAAGCACGCGCGCGCGCGCAAGCGCGTGCGATCGCGCGGCGCTGGGGGCGCCGCCCAACAAAGGCGCCGGAGTCGCGCCTTCGAAGCGGCAGAGTGTCAACAAGGGTTGTGAGTTGGTCATTTGATTCAGATGAGAAACGTTATATTTTTGTAGTTATATGCCACTTGAACGGGAATGGATGGATGAAGAGAATGCTTTTTGGGGCTACGGCCCAAAATTATCTTATGGCTGTGCTTGATAACACAAAGTTTAAGCATATGATAGCATATGTGCTTCTTTTGCAAGGGGTTATCACCACCCCCACACCAAGAATTCCTGTACGAAGCATGCGTTCTCCATTCAATCTCCTGGCAGTATTTCGCTATTGATCTCCGAAACAGCATGTAGGTGACACGATAAAATCAAATTGAAACATCTCACAAAGTACCGGTAAGACACCATTTCAGGTCGCTCAACTGCACTTTACTGCTCTCATTTTGTGCTGCACAGATACAAAAATACTGTGCCATGTTTGGTCATGTTCCAAAGGCAATCGAAAGTGCAATCGACTTGCATGCTGCTGCCAGTCGCTTAAATAGAACAGCTGTACTGCACCCCATGTGTGAGAAAAGAGCTTGCAAATTGGCCATAGATGTGGTTGTACTGTACCACGTTATGCCTGGTATGGGAGTTTCATTGTTTAATGTCTATATCCTTGGTATACCCTGCCTTCCCCAGCTGTCCAGTAGAATGTGACCATTGAACACCTCCAGGTGTACGTACTTTGCAGATGTTGTGAATTGGGCAGACATGGTGTGCGTCCTTGGACTTCCACTACGAGCAAGCATTGGCTTCGTCTTTCAGAGCCCACCCGCTTCGGGTGCAGAAGAGGTCATTCAAGTCCTACTCATTTTTGTTCTTCCCTTGTTCCGATTTCTCAAACTACTGCGGTACTTTGAGATCAGCAGGCTTTTGGTCGATGCGTGTGTGAAGTCAGCCGAAGCAGTGCCAGTCCTTTCTTACATGATGACTCTCATCGTGTTGGTCTCAGCGACTTTCATCTATTTGTTCGAGGAGAAGAGCAACATCCCAAGCATGCCCCATGCCTTGTGGCTGGCCGTTGTAACCATGACCACGGTCGGCTATGGCGACTTCTTCCCAACATCAGTGGGAGGCGCACATCGATGTCGCACGTGGCTGATGTTGGACCTCAGTGTTCTGAAGTTCATAGCAACCCACTGAGATTTTGCTTGCACTTTCAACAAATATGGCTCGCCTGCTAGAGGACTCTGTTTGACCGTTGAGGACTTCCTGTACTGAATTACAGTTTCTATCTAAGTTTTGAGGAGGGTAACTAGAACTTACCCATTTCACCCATGTCTGCTCTATTCCCAACTCTTGGTTTAAATTCTGAAAACAATCTTGTTGCCGACACCTCGCCAACAGATTGAACCCAAAGTTCTAGCTCTTAGTTCACATATCGAAATGGCGCTGGGCATGTCTTTTGCATAGCTCCTTTCTGCATAGCTCCGATCTTTTGATCCGATCCCCTGGGCCCTGAGGCTATTTGACGGTCTCAGTGCTCACCTTCATCAGCGTGGTCTTCTTGGCGCTGCCCGTGGGCATCGTCGGCCACGAGCGCCTTGGAGCCACGAGCGGGTGTTTTGGACAAGATGAAGTGCATGTTGGTGGTGTTTAGAGTATACATGAGTAGACTAATATCCTGGAAATCAACATGGTACATTTTTTCAGAAAAAAACACTCGGAATGGCTGATTTGTTATTTGTTTGTAGCCTATGGCTAAAAGTGATCCCTCCTGCATCTCCAAGACTCACGTGGCGCAAATCCTTGATTGGAGTTATCTCACCTCAGTGTTTTTGCTTAATTGATGTTATTAATCAAAACGGAGCATGCCAATCCTTCGACCACCAACATCTTTGTTCAGTCCTAAGAAAACCATATTGTCGTGTTCAAGTCTAAATCCCTGTGAAATTGTACCCGTTTGTTGTACTTTGACATCGTGTGTGATGAAGCTCCAAAGTGTGATCCACCTGCACGAACTGCCTGAACGCAGAGTTTCAACAGGTTCTTCGGGGTGGTTCTTGGAGTACATACTTTTGGGACGGCAAGCTTGAAGACAGGTACGATTGGAGGTGGCTATTAACTGATAGACTGACAACGGCTTCATGTTGCGTCTTTTAAGATAACGCTATTGGACCAATACACAAGTCATTGTCTTTGTTGTATTTCAACATACGTGGCTGCCAGTTGCTCCATGACATCTCTGCCAACGCCAATATAGCAGATCTCAAGTTTTTTTGAAAATCGCCTTCAGTGCTTGAAAGACTCTATCACTTGTGGACCTAGCGTTGCAAACGAAGTCTGGATTTTTGCTCAATCTAAACTCAGGTAAGCAGCAGCACTATTTGCAAGTATATTTGTTGGGTCATCTTGTTTCACAAACCCAGCACCGTGCTAAACTGAAAATGATAAGATGCTGTTGAAGAGGATGAGGAGCAACCAATGGCAAACAATGAAATTGTGATCAGGATGGCTAACTCTCAAATCAGTAGTGTGCGAAGCAAAACAACCAGCTAGCCTGCTGATCATCCGAGAAGTGCCTTGGGCCAGGACGGGTGATCAAATCCAAGTGAAGGTATTGAAGTAGTCGCAAGAATTAAGCGTGTGTTCCTTCGCCCTTAAGAGTCCACATATTTGTTCCTTGTAGTTTGTACCAGTCCGTGTGAAGCAAACACCTCACGAACAGTCCGTGTAGAGTTTGGAGTAGACAAAGGCTGGCAAACCCAAGTAGCACCTCTGAGCCTGAAGCGTGCGCAAGCGCACCCAGAATGGCTAAGCCGGAGGTGAAAACGGCACCCCAGCGCCCAAAATTTGGAGGGTGAGAAGCTACTAGTAACAAAGGGCATCACTACCAGGATCAAGAAGCTACTAAGCTCCCAGCATTTCTACTAGTAACAAGAACGGAGGCTAATTTCCCTCTGCAGAACTCGTAGCGTTAGCCAAGGCTAAAAAATGGGCCCTTTCGGAGAGCCTGGTACACATATATTATATTGTACATACCCATACGTAGACCATACTAGTATGCCCCGTATATTAGTATCTCCCCATAATTGTATGTGTATGCTATGCCTACGACATGATTGGCATGTCAATGTCAGTGAATTCTAGCATGAACTTGCTGTTCCGTTGATTCCTAGGATTGTTGTTTAAACATTTCAAGCATGAAGAAAGAACACAAGTGCGGACCTACTTTGTTTAGTACGTCATTTCTCATAGCATGCCTTTTGGACGGTCCCAGACCACCAACCGCATCGCCTTCCGAATGTTGTTCAGGCCTTTTTGTTCAAGCCATTGTTTACTTTTTGTAAAATGGCGCGCCGTGAGGTTCAACAAATCGTGGCAAAGTCGAGCCCACATGCTGTTGATGACCCGAGTCCGGAAATGCCTCAACAAGTGGGGCTTCAATGCTGGTGATGTGCAGATGTTGATTCAATATGCAGATGTCGATGGTGATGGCCAGTTGACCTTGGGTGAGTTTGTGGAGCTGATTCGACAGATGCGAATTGGCGTCAGCAGTGAAGCAGCCGCCGAGCTTTTCACGTTGCTGGATGTCGACTACAACGGCTACGTGGACAGTGAGGAGTTCCTACGGAACGTGTTCCCAGATGAGTATGTGAAGGAGATCCAGCGTGCCCAATTCTTAGCCTTGCCCGAATGCAAGAAGCAGATTCATAGTGCTCTTGTTCGTTTAGACTCTCTCCGCTCCGCAGTGGGCGATCCGGCGACAGGGAGACCCATGACGTTTCACACCCCAATCGACAGCGAGGAGGACACAAATTCCAAGAGATCCTTTAAGGAAGAACCCTTGGAAGAGCCAGAAAAGCTGTTCCACGAACCTTTGTGACGAACGACTGACTAGACTTTATTTGGCTACTAGCCAATGCAGCAACGCTGCCGACTGAATTCACCAGAACTGCGAAAAGGGGCGGTTGTGGGGCATGTGTGTGAAGGATTATGTTTCTTCGGATCCAAATTTTGTGTTATATATTACAATAGATCTTTGATCTTTGATATTTCATTGTGTTATTATGTTCTATTGATGCTTCTTGGGTGTTTCTTCGGTGTTTGGGGCGGAAACAACGGTGGAAGGTCTTCCTTTTCTTGTCGTCGCTCGCTCGATCTCGATCTCGTCACAAGTCGATGCCTCGCGACGTCAAGTGAGCGAACACGTTGCCTTGTTGTGCCGGTTCACACGTGCCGTGCCGGAAGTTCGCGTTCTCACTGATTAGCTCTCAAGGTGGCAACGTTATCTATTTTCAGGTTTGTTGGAGAACTCAACATGGCTTGTTGGCCACTGGTTGGTCACGCCACAGGGATTTGGCGTTTCTCGCTGTAATTAGGCATCAACTGCTGTCGGCTGGCAAGGAGCTGAGATGCTGAGTGGGGAAGAGAGATTTTTGAGTGACTGGTGAGAAACAGTATGTCCTCTGCAAAATTGTTTGCCCTGCCGTTCTCCCTGGAGTCATTCGCTGGGTATCGTAATAATTATGCCATGCGTCAGGAGAGACGCTGTTCCTGCCTCAGTGCGGAGACCTTTCGACAGCTCTGGTCCTCCGAGCGAGGTTGGGATTGCCGACTAGCTCGTGAGGCCGGGTGAGGGATTTAGGCTCGAACACCCGGGGTGACACTCAGCGATGCGACTAGGTGACATTTGTTTGTGATGCGACTAGATCGATCGGCTCCGTCTGACGGAAACACGGTCCAGTGTTGGAGCTGCTTTGAACTTCACAGATGGAATTTGGGTGTCCATGGTGGCCATGTGGAACTTGGAGATTACTTAACTTAGTAGTGAGTATGGTTGCACACTTCAATTCAGTGTCTTGGCTGCCTTGGCTTCAGGCAATGGATTCGTCGGCAAAAACCATCAATGGCTACAGCAGGAACACGTCACATGTCCTTGGCCAGCTGAGTGTGTTTGGGGAGATTGACATGGGAAGCCGCGTTGTTTTCAATTGGAGCGATCTCGGCATTGTTTCTATACAGTCAGGACGCAATGTTTTGTCACAATTTCGGAGAAGTCTTGCTCTTCGCCCAGCAAGCAAGCCAAACCTTTGATTGACCACACCCACCCCTGAAGTTTGTAACGAGAGCTACTTGATTTGTTTCGTTGTGTCTCTTTTCTTCGTTGTCATCCCCTAAGCAGCGCCCGCCATGGCACTCTCCTTGGGCACCCGAGTGGTGCGCAACTCAGCATGTGGGATGACTCGCCCAGCGTTACTCGTGACGGTGGAACAGCAACACCACATGTGTCACCCAGTGAAACTGAATCATGGAGGCTTTAGGATGCTTGAGGCGGTACGTTCTTTACTGGGATGAAGCATGCCATCAGTTGCAAAGCGAGCTGCAAAAAAGAAACACTGAAACTGAAGGGCCCTTGGTTGTGCGAGGGTCAACCAGCGTCCCCAGATTTTGACCCAGAGCCGCAAATCTTGCAAACCATTTCAAATCAGTCGAACCGTTTCGTCGCGGTTCGGTTCGCAGATCTGGTTAGGTTCCAGAACCTCTCGTTTGTTCAAATGTCCAGTTTTTATTACGTAATGCTTTTCCAACGGCAGCTGCGCAAGGCTCACCAAAGCTAAACACAGAGATCAGGAAGGGAAAAACAGTTCAAGAAAGCCCTTTAAGATCCTTTAAGGGGTTGCACGGCTAAACCCAGATAATTCATGCCAGGGCGAACGATGTTCATGAGTACGATGCGGTGCTTGTAGAGTATATGTCAAGGCTTTGACAGACAAAGAACTCTTGGGGCAGGGGAGCCGTTTCACATTATTTTGGAATACGTTGTAATGGCTTCGAGGCTACTGTTGCACTCCTTGGATGTTGCACCTTGCGCCGTGTGCTTGAGGTCTGCAGATTGCCGATGGCAATGCCCTTTTCTATGTATATTGGTAGTTCAATACCTCATGTTGTGCCTCACTTCAAGCAGTTCCCTCACTTCAAGCCGTCTCCAGTCCAGCCGAAGTCCGTTGCAAGCCAGTTCGGCACCATGTGCGTCAGGTAGTGCAACGAGGACGTTCTGAGGGCACCAGAGGAGTCACTTGGAGTGTGAAAGGAGGGCAGTGGGAGAGTGCAGTTCTTCCCATTCCCCGCCCAACACATTGCAGAAATGGGTTCGCTACTAGGGGCTCCTGGCATCGCTACTAGGGCCTCCTGGCCTTACTACTAGGAGCAAGGACTATTTGCACCCTTTTTGTTGAAGTGTCCTTGCAAAAGCACCTTTGACACGAGGCAAAATGAGGCCATGAGGTGTCCCATTTGATCGGACCCTGGGTGATCCTATATTATAGTAGTATGCTGGATGGTATTTAGTTGCGAATGTAAGCATATTCAAGAACGCTTTGCAGGAGTGTGAGGTTGTCATCGTTTGCACAAACAGCCAGGAGAAGGGACTTGAGTTAGCTGGCGTCAATGATGTATGATGTACAAAAGCTATTGTTTTGTGTATATACACCAGGACGACTTACTCCGTTTGATCTGCGAAGGTCTGCTTGAACCTACGGTGACCCGCAGGGTGCAGCCGCAGGTCGTCTTGGATATCGACCGAGATGCGGGCTGCTGCAAAGTGGCCTTCGATGAGAATCCATCAGTGCCGGGCTTTTGGGCAGTCCTGGGCATGAGCTGACTTTCACAAAGAGTGGAATAATATCATAGGGGAGAGTCCTACTGTTGAAGCGAAACATTGACAATAAACATGAAACAGTTGAATCCATTTGAAATCCCCTGTCCCACTTGGTTTCGATTTGTGGATATACATCCTGTGAATATATGGGGCAGGTGGCTTGTTCATTTCATATTTATAATCTATTTATAGTATTTTTGACCCCTTCACTGTGCAGTGTCGGGTCCAATCCGGTGGCCGATTCTGCAACGCCGAAACATTGCGCATCAAGGCATGACAGGCCCCATCTCAGACTGCATTACCTGGCAAAGGATTCTGGAGAAATCAGGGGGTAGGGCCAGGTACGGCATTCTCTTTGATCGCATTTTGGGCGATCTCGCGATGTGGCGGGACTCGTGCAGCGCCTTCCAAGCCATGTGCCCGTTGACCTTTCAGGTGCCTGCCAAGGTCGCCATCCGCCTTCCCAGCCTGGTCTTGGGAAGCAAACCAACAATAGAAGTTGTCTAACCGTGTAACTTTGCGAAACTGATGATTTGTTTGCAAAACGTGAGGAGGCAAACCTTTGCTGTGCAATGCCAGCCGACATTCAGTGTCATTCCATGTGAGTCGGCGACTGCTCTTTCGAACGTTGGCAATCTCAAGGCTTTGTGTCAGCTGCAGAGGAACATCGGTCGACATCTCTTTGCATCCAAGCTTTGTTGGTGGATTCAACCAACTGACTCCCCTTGCCAGGGCATTTATCGCCTGATCTGGATAGCTACCGATCCACCTTGTGGTATTCGCAGGACAGGCCCTTCGGATGATCGGGTCCCCGTCGCATCAGAGAACTCACTGAATCATTGACAGGAAAGCCCAAAAGCCCGAACTTGTCAACATTCAGCATTTGGTGTGATAGCAATAGGCAGTAGTTGATGTGGTTGTCCAATGGGATTGTCTTTCAGGTGGTTGTGGCAGGACTTCTACTTTCTGCAGGCCATGCCTAATCTACATATTGATGCTGTCATCCAGTCTTCATCCTGCTGCGGCCATTGCAGTGATCCAAACCCGCGAGTGCTATTCTGCTAGCACTCTTGCTGGTGCCTTGCCGCTGCTCAGGACAAACTACTTGACGTCCGATCGGATGAGGCGAGGATGTCGTCAGACCAACTTGCAGGTTGTGTCGTCAGAGACAAAATCATGTGCTCTTGGTGGGTTGATGGATCAACAGATATCAACAGATTCATCCATCATCATTAACCTCTTTTGTATGCTTTTGTTTGATTCATCAAATCCAGATGATGAGACAAGATGAACAGATGTTTATGTTGTTCAACAAGGAAACCCAGTGGGTCCCACGGACCCACGGACACGGCTCCCTGCGATGTTTTTCGGTCACCAGCCCTGCCCTGCTGTGTTTTGGACACTCCGTTGCTCCAGGAGGTGCTCCTTGGCATTCTGTACTCCTAGACGGTCTATCTATTTCAACTCCACATCGATTATTCACATGCATATATAGTATATGCAGCATAGATTATGTATGTATGCTGTATGAATCTGTATGATGTACGAATATGATTTTTGTTGATATTGTCAAATTGTTGTAGCTGTGTTTGCAGTCGCTGGGTGAAATCCCCCAATCAGACCCAAAGGGCTTTGATTCAGCAGCTAGATTACATCAAGGCAGCCATCACCCTACGCTTCACTCCCACATGTGGACACCCCAAGCAAGATCAAGCAAGACTCTCCAGAATCTTCAATTTGATCCTTTCAGGCAGAATTATGAGTGCATCAGGGAAAACCCCGTGCAAGCACTCATGTTTTGCAGTTGAAGGTCATGCCATGAAGGTATGAAGGTGACAACATGTCACATCGTCGAAGACCCTTTTTATGCACAGAAAAGCCTGCTCCGCTCCTGCAGGTTATGAGCCCAGCGCAAGGACGTTGAGTGATTTTCGAAGTCCACCACCTGAGGTCAGGTGTGTTGGTCCCCATGGCGAATCCTTTCTGGTCTAAGGACCTCCAGGAAAAGATCGAGCTTCAGGCAGCGCGGCCAGGTGACCTTCCTGTGGTGCCGGATAAGTCCTCGTCGGAAGAGCTGCGGTCAGCAAGTGGCCAGTCCATGGACCAGGAAGAGCAACCCCTGGAAGATGGAGAGTCCGAGGAGGACCAAAGGCCGGCGCTTGGAGGTCGATATGAAGAAGAAACATGTGGTGCAGCGGCCTGCAATCAGTGCAGAGATGGCTGAG